GTACTATTTAACATTTTAGACACATTCTAGACAGTTTATCAGCTAAAAAAAAGTTAATTTTGGGGTAAGTTACTTTTTAAGCAGATACAGATTAATTCCTACTCGCGAGCGCCCCCTCTGGTTGGGGAAACTTTTTTCAGGAATTCAAACTTTTTTAGAACACCGGTAGACGGCTCCATTACAGACGGACATGTGTGTTTGTTGTTCCAGCAGCAGCTCGGTCACACACTAATGTCATTAGTTTGTTATCATTACTGAGCTGCAGGACTACTTTTCCCCCCTTTTTTTCACATCATGTCGCCTGCCTGGATCTGTTACTATCTCGCTCTGAAGAACAGAGGAGTGTCAGAGGTGAGCTTGTTTCAACTGCTTTTTACAACGCGGTCTCATTTCCGGACCCAATAATTTTGCCAATATTTCAGTTAAAATACATAAGTAAAAATATTTATCCGAGTATAATACTACCCCCCAACTTTATGGATGATTTTATGGATTAAATTTTACGTATTCTACTCAATTTTTTTTGTCACATTGTTAGCTTTCATGTTGGTGCCCAAGCTACTACATTTATATATGGTGATATAGTGTTAGCACCCAAGCTAATAATGTTAGCTCTGATAAGGACAGAGGAAGCACAGTTAATGAATTAAATGATGTTAACAACGTATTTTAGACTCACATCAGTTTCCAGCAGGTTGTGCATGGACATCTCAGCCAGCTCTTTGGACTCATTGAACTTCTCCAGAGCCACCCTGATYTCCTCATCTGCGATTTTCCCTTGACGTTTCTTTTTATAATCATAGTCGAGGCGGCGACCTTCCAACTTCTTCAGTTGGTGCTAGAAGTTAAACACACAGGAGAAGGACAATGAGATTTACAAACACATAACAGTGCTCTGATGAGCACTTCCTCAACGCCTGACCTGACTGCGAAGTCGTCTGAGAGGTAAAGGCTGAATTGYTTGATTAAGCGCACCCGTGTCCAGCTGACTCGAGTGGGAGACTCGTGTGCACTTCTGGCTTCCCTCACATTGATAAGATAAAACTTCATTACCCTTCCTTAACCCTCTTTTCTCCCTACTTCTTAATCTTTGCCCATACCCTGCCAAAACCCTTAAGAAAAGTACCGCAAACAATGGTTTAGTCAAGACTTAAAGCCTGAAGAGTTTGTTGTTCCTGATAAAGTTGTYAAAATAATGATAATTAACCCGGACACGAGTTAATTGTTGTTGGTTTCAACTTTTGTAAAAAACCTAAATGTCCCTCAATGAGTTGTACATAAGTGATTCATTTTATTCTGTAAATAAATATAATTTATTTTAGATAAAACTAAGTTACTGAGTACACTCATTCACTGTGTGGTTTCCTCATAATTCCACAGAGAGGGTATTATTTCAAAAACAGAAGAACTCGTGATTTTCCTCATAACTTTAGTTATGAGAAGATGTAGATCTACCCCTACAAATTGTTCTCTACCTTTACATTTTATCTGTCAATAAGTGTGACTCAGTCATACACTGTCATAAGTGTAGAGTTAAAGTGTTTTAGTGGTTTTCAGTACCAGAGCTGCTGGAATAACAGCTGTGGAGATCACAGATCAAAGTGCCTGTGCGTGCACAAGTACACTAGATCTTTAATTCTACCTGAATGTCTTTGATGTCCTTGTCAGCAACTGCTTGGAGTGGGTCAATAAAGTTCTGCTTCACATCAATATCCAGCGCATCCTTGACTTCAGCCAGCCTCTTCATTGCATCTCCAACGTCTGTAAGAGCCCCACCTAAAGAAAACACAAACACAGACGAGTGAAACATCAAGCAGTGTGCTATTAAGCAGCAGATTAGGCAGTGAGGTGAGATTTTATTGCAAATCTATCAAAGAAAGAAACCCTATGGTTGTTGGGTAAGTATGTTTACCAGTGTGAGCAACTGTTTTCTGTGATGAACACAAGTTTCACTGTAATGTCAACTTCAGTCAGTAGTGAGATTTTCAAACTCCTCTGTAGTCTTTAAAGTGTCTGCCAGAATTTATTTGATCTTTTTAGTGAATGCGTAGCTGCGCTTTTGATGCCGTTGGTAAAACATTTTTAATAAAAACACAGACAAARCATCCTTATTCTATCCCAAGAGTTTAAAATTTAGATTCCCCTCCCTTTCTATAAATCATCTAACAATAATATTCAAAAAACAGATAAATTACAAATGTAACATAAAGCCCYTCTTATTTTCTCTGCAAATGCATTCCTATACTGAATTCCTTCAGTCATTCTGCTGACACTATTCTCCATATAACTTCTGAGTCTTCAGTCTTATTCTCTAATTAATCCTGCCATGCTCACCAAAGCCGGTGTCCTCGCCCATCTCCCGTCCATATTTAGTCATAGACTCTCCCAGCAGGCTCTCAGGCTGTGGATACCCRGGATTGCTCTCCTGCCCACGTATCTTGGACACTGTGTTGAGCATGTTAAGTCGAGCTCTCGTTGCAGGGTTGGGCTGGAGGTACTCTGACGTTTTATTCATGACCTCCAGTAAGGCTTTACTGGTGATGTCTGCTTTCTGGTGACACAGATTAACAGCCACTGAGACAATGTGACAAAAATTACAGCTGTCTTGTTTTTTATTTTTATTTTTTTATTATTATTATTTTTAATGAAAACATTGGAAATACCCTTTCAAGTAGCTTGAAGTCACTGTCCAGTTTGGTTCCCTCAGCACCTCCAACCCTCTCACTCATCATCTGTAAACATAACATCAATATTGCAACAACAAAAAAATTATTTTAACATTTCCAAAAACTATACTCTCATTCAGAAAAGAAAAGAAAAACTCAATGCAAGACATTTCGAAATTAGTATTAAAGATGTTTTGTTTTTTACTTCGATTCTCAAAATAAAACTAAAGCCCTTWCAAAGTTCACTTTTTATAAACTATTACAGAAACAATAAAAAATGTTGCCTTTTTGGTTCTATTATTAAAAACACTAACGTCAGTGGCCAAATAACACAACATAGTCTGACAAAATTGTACTTTTTTTTTTTTTACCTTTTTTTCAACTTTTCATGAGTAATTTGATACAATTATCACACTAACGCAGTGATAACCACAATCTCATTGTGACTATACAATTAATTTGATATCTGAGTGGTTTAGAAATGTTTATTAGATTAAGACAAAGTATTTATATTAAAAAAAAAACAGCAGTAGTTTTGGGTCAATTTAAAAGACCTTTGAAATACATGTCATTTTGTTTGGCTCCATGTGTTTATTTTAATATTTAGTGAAACAACAAAAGACTTTACACAAAGCCTCATAAAATATATACCTAAACACATTTTTTTTCTTTTGGCTAATAGAAGATCAAAGCAGGATTATGGAGTAAAAAAAACTAGTTTGAGACCACTGAGACTAAACACTGTATTCAAACTTTAAAACTGATTTACCACCATTTTCTGTTTTGTTTATATATTTCCTGGAACMGCCATTTACTTTGACGAGCCAGAGTTTCAGTCAGGGGACCATCATCCTGAATTCTGGATGCGGGACTGAGTTCTTCATWAGAAAGTCCTCTGAACTTGAAAACCGCTTTTCCTTTTCCATCTGGACCGCACATTACAGTTTCCTTCACTTCAACTACATCCATGGATTATTTTACTCTACAAAAATGCTTCTTTTCCACCCTCGATCATTTAGCTGGAAAGGCAAAGACTGTGTGTGGACGTCTTATTTGGGTCAACTCATTGCTACTRTCATCATCATCACACTGACACATAAAACCAGACAAATCAATCAGCCTCTCCGGTTTATATAACGCAGTGGCAGTGACTATTTCATACTGCAGAGCACTGTTTGCCAACCATGATGTTCAGGGCCAACTGTCCTATATGCTTTAGCCATTTCCCTCCAACATACCTGGTTAAAATGACTCAATAGCTCCTCAGCATRTCATCAGTTCTGCAGAGCCTTGTTAATGAGCCATTCATTTAAATCAGCTGGGTTTTAACCACAGAAACATCAGGCAGGACAGTCGGCCTTGAGGAGCAGTATTGGGAAACACTGATGCATGAAAAATGTTAACTTTGTTGTTGTTTTTTTTATCTGTTGCTCTTTTCTTATCTTCTGCAGGGACCACACACTAAAGATTTGACAAGTGTTTTGCACTGCATGCCATTCCTGACAAATYCTGTATTGCAGCAATGACCAACAAGCTAACGCAGCTCCTACAGCTGTATGGAAAATACAAACTACTCCGAACAATCAAAATATTCAAAGTAAATGACACAAAAAAAAAAAACACTTTGTACCAAAGGAGAAGTTGGCATCTGAACAAAGGAGGAAGTATAAAKTTTATTTAAATAAACTAGTTTCTGCATTATTTGTAATTGAATAAGATCAGTACATATAAATTACCAGTATACTTTTTCAGTTTTACCTGTATAGATTTATAAAAACACTTTCTATTGGATTTGTAAAAAAAAAGGTAATTTTAAACTAAAATGTTAAAATGTCTATATTTACATTAATATAGCTCAGAAGTACGGAAAGACATTTTTTTTAAATCAAGAACTTTAGAAATTTAAGAAATCAAGAAATCAAGCAGCTTATTCAGTACAAAGATTTCAATACAATTGTTTAAAACAATAGCAGCCAACAACCAGTAAAAACCTTAACAAACCTAACTATTGACCTTCTCACATTTACTAATGCACAAGTACGGGTCTCTGCAGTACATAGGGGAAGTTTCTTGGTGTGTGGGCGGAGTTTGTCTAAACTGTGATTGGTTGAATTGACTTGTCTTGTGGGGCAGGTTAAAAGATGAAGTAATGATATTAGTAAAATTATTGTGAATGTGAACATGTAAATACAATTTGACTGTCTATTTATAATTTAAAACAGAACAACGTCTCAAAGATTATTGTGCAACAATTTATTAATTTCCATTTTTATGCGACTGGCACCTTCCTGTCTCAAGTTATGACTAAAATCAATCTGCCTGGCACTTCTATAGCTTTGTAAAAGCCTATGTGAAATATACACCATTTRTGCACCAACTACTGAGTGTGTGTCTACTGGGAAAAATATCCTAATCAYAAAGAGATAAAGGGATTAGCATGGACACAGTTGGGAACAATCGGGCAGAAATGATGAGTCACTTTTATTTGGTGAGCACAWGCCTTTAAAAYGAASCAGCAAAAATGATGTGATAATAACATCTTTTAGGTAAAATGCAGTCATCATTTAAGTATGTTTTCCACTGTGTGACAGGTCAGACTGGCTTAATGACATGTTATTTTAAAMACAAAGCATCTACTACAGATAACTGACGATGCCACCCCTAAAACTACAAGTTCATTTGAGTAGCATACAGGCAAAACAAGAACCTGTTGAATAAAAAAAAAATGCTGTTATCAAAACACAGGCCATTTTGCAAGCCATTAAAACAAAAGGTATGTTTGTAGTGGCGGGGTTAACATTTAACCTCAAGACTCAAAACCTTGCAGCTTAAATTCCCTCTAATTAATACAAAACTGCTRGCTGAATAATAAAAAAAAAAAGACAAATCTGTCAAAGTAAGTAAGTGACTTAGCAAAATGGTCCTTCTATTTGCTTCAGTGTTTTGCATGACAAGCCAAGCCTCCAGATATACCAGTATCTGGTCTGGTATGAAAGACAACCTGTGCTTCAAGTTTACACACAGGTAATGTCAGCCACCGCCTTGTCATATTTGAAAATGCCAGAAATAGAAACGTCATACCTACAATCATAAACTAAAACCAGAAACTTGTGCTGCAGAAGGACCCATCAATTATTAAACACTGTTAGAAAAGATTAGAGACGAAGAGATAAAAACGTTTTTAAGTTCAAATGCAGCAGAAACATATATACATAACATCAGTGTAATCAAGTTATATATTGCCCAACTAAAATGATGTTTTCTGATTTAAAAAAATGAACATGGGTTTCATATAAACTCTGGTCTCATCCTTATAATTTAATTAATCAACAAAATAATACTTAATTAGTCCTGTATTGTTAAAGCAAAGCAAGACTAAAACTTAAACCAGACAGTTACAGACATTATCTTCATTAAATCCTCTTTGTCTGACTGAGACATCATAAAATACCACAAACAGATGGTCCTAATCATGTACTTGATGCTAATTAGGCTAATGTAGTAAAAAAAAAAAAAARGGGGGGGGGGGCGTTGAAGAAGAAGTAAACTGAAAACAAACCTCAACAACAAATCTGTGATTTTTGTTTAAATAGAGACATAAGCATCTGAACACACTGCAATATATTTAAAGCAAATAATCCATGTAAAAAAACAGCACTTCTTGAGTTGATTAACTCGAGCACTGCATTGCTAAAAGTGAGTAAAAAAAAAAGTCAAGAGATTAGCATTAGCTAATAAGAGATTGTTTACATTGTTAGTAAGAAACAACACACTTTACAATTTATAATTACAACATAAACTGTTGTATTCACGGAGATTAAATGTCGACCAACGCATAAAACGTGTATAAGTTAATATAACCACTTTAGTTGCATTTCACAGTTAACAGACCTAGCTTCAGGCTAGCACGATAAGCAACAAGCTACCTCGGCAATTACTGGTAACATGAAGAGCAACGTTTACCTGACTGGCTTTGTAAAACTGCTTCTTAAACCCAGCGACCGACATCTTACACGGTCAATGTTTCCACCTGCTCCTGGAAAAATCTKATATAAAATAACCCGACAACAACAAATAAAACACGGTACAAAACGAGACGAGSAACACGTCTTCAAACTTTTTGGGCTGTGGATATGAAAACTTGCTAGGCAACCGCAACTTCCTGACTTCGAACGGGAGCGGGGTTGCCAGATAAACAAAACACGAAATATTTTAGGACCGCTTTAAAACGACCGTAATTTCACGCAAAGTTTCGAATAAATTGTATTTATAAAAAAAAAACTATGTTTTAGTGAACATAAATTACGAAATAAAATGTGTTTTGTCTTTTAAAAACTATTTTTAGCTTACCATAAATCTATCGTATAAACAAGATATTTTTGTATATTTGGCAACACTGAATGGGCGCGTCCATCCAAATGATTTATTATTTTTACAGGATGCAGAGAACATCTTGCTGGGCTAGTTATATAAATTAATAAAATAAAAATAAAAATATATGGAAGAATTATTCAAATCTAATTTTGTATTTATAATATACAATATTTATTCAAATAAATTGTGTATTTTCTCCATACTAATAGTATTGACAACGATAGTTTTAAAGCAACAGCCACACAGTTTATTTTGATATTGAGATTTGCCAAGTTTTTATTAGAGAAATTGAGGGACTATGTATTGCTCAACTAAGTTTATTTGCTGCTTCATAAAAGTTAGAAAGGAACTATCAGACTAAATTCAGTCTTCACTTTGWTGCAGTCCCTTATCCTGAGCATTACATACGGACAGTGAGGGCTGATTTCCTTTTTAACAGGAAGAAACCTCCAGCAGAACTGGGCTCAGGACGAGCAGCTGTCTGCCTTGAATAGCTGAAGTCAGACTGGACAGGAAAAAGTCACAGACAAACACAGGATGACTGGTCCAGGTGTAGAATATATTGAAAACCAAAACAAATACAAGGTAATGGCAGCAATAGTTGTATGTGAAGAGTAGAGAGAGTAAAAACAGCAGCAGAGTAATGAAATGTGGTTTCTTTATTCCCCAGCAATCTAAGCCTATAGCATAAATAAGGAAACCCAATCCTAATAGGATTTATCAAGAAGGGAAGTCTTAAGCCTGGAGTGTCATCCTTACAGGCAGAAACTGAAGTTAGTTACACAAGAGAGGAGCCTGAAAATGGAAAGTTTTGCCCCCAGTTCTCCATTTAAGAACTTTAAGAACCRTAAGTAAACCTGAAGTCTGAGAGCGAAGTGTAAAGCTCTCTGTTAGGAAAATATGGAAAATGATTTCTAATCAAAGATGAAGCTTGGTTGTTCAGAACTTTGTTGCAAATAAAGACTAAACACTTACTCTCAGTTTTACAGTCAATGAAACAAAACCTGTAGTTACCTTACCTTATAACATTTTAATATTTTAGATATTAAAAACAATTAATTGATGTAAAAAAGCAGCAAATTCAAACATCTTCAGCTACTCATTAAGATCTAGGTTAGTGATCAAACAAAAAAAAAAACCAAGTAGGTCCTCTGGACGGGTTCTTCTTTAATGAAACRTTTCGTCTCTCCTCTAAGAGACTTCTTCAAGAGTTTCAGGTGAACTCAAGTCTTATAAGCACTGCCTCCACATGGTGGACAGACAGGTTGGTCACATGCAAAAGAGGACCATCAGCCAAACAATAGCTCATTAGTGCCGTGATTGGCTTTATTGTTCATAGAGGGTCATGTGCCCAATCAATGACCCTCTATGAACAACAGATCAGTGGGGCCGATTCACAGCTTTTGCTCATAGGGGCCTGAGTTATACTTGCAATAACAGCGTTGTAGGAGGAGGACAACTGGACACGAAGGCTTCCACCTCTAGTTAATGGTGGTCGGGGTTTTTTTGAGTGATCATAACATAAATGGCTTTTTCAAAATTGATGAGTCATTTATATAAAAATGCGTTTTTGTGAAAGCAGAAACGCTTTAGGCCTTTTTATTTAACCTAAATTCAATCAGTAAAATAGGGCCATTCCTTTGCGTGTTTTCAAAGATTTTTATGTAGGTTGTTGCATCTTGAATTAGTTGGAACTTGGAGGTTGAGGACACCTTGATCTTCTGTCTCTTCATGTAGCTTCAGACTGACTCAGTGAGGAGTTCACTGTTTGGCAGAGACACAAGCATCTGCTGCAGGGCTCCAAGGTCCCTGAGGGAGCTGAAAATAGCTCTTCCTGACTTGTCATGTTGTCATGGCAGAAAGCAAGTTTGACTTTTCTTGTATGACTAATAAGGGTCTAAAGACTCACAAACATCAGGGCAAAAGTTCAAATAAGACACAAACTATTTAAAAGAAAAAGAACCCATTTATTACATTCTCAAAACCACATAAAATGTATCCAACTGGAGAAACAATATACTGAATATCGAGCTGTGTGACTGTTTTTCTTGAACTAGTTATATACCTCTTGTACACTTAGTCATACAGGTAAAGAGAAGGAAATCAAACTATGGTTTTCTTTGTTTGCACAATTCCTAATGTTTCTGGAAATTAAAAATGAAAATAAAATAAATCACTGGCTTTACAAGACAAAACGTGGAGACACGTGAAGAAATTGTGGAGAAAACACTGACATAACTGAAAATCACAGCAAAAGAAACATTAAATCCCAATGACAAAATTGATCTAGAAACTAATGTTTTTTTTAAATCCTATGAATCTTAAATTTTAATGTTACAATATTAGGACAAACAGGAAGGGCTTTCGACACGCTGTAAGTAACATTCACAAAAAAAATAGAACTTACGGTACGTCCACAGTGATTATGGTTACGGGTCTTTAGGTGCAAAGGTGTAAGGAGTACAAGGCTAAAAGACGACACTTTTAACAAAAGGGACAAGAGGTCACAGCTAGCTCCCTGAGCAGCGGGCAGGAGGTCCTCAGACTCTGCTCGAGAACATCACAGCACCCCGAGTAAGACATCATCATCACCAGCTCATCGCGTCAGAAAATGGGTTATGTACAGGAAAATTGTAAACAGTTATGGCTGACCTTAGTGTGACAAACATGGAATAAAATGATAATAAAACAAGCAAACTTGAGTCTTACTGACATGGAAGCAAAACTCAGGGGGGCAGCTGGTAGCTCTGTCTGGCCTTTAATAGTGTCAATTGAGAAAGAGGAAAGTATAAGTGCTTTCGGAAAAAAAGTGTTGTGTTCAAGGTTAAAGGAGATAGGAACTCCGAATGTACAAAATAATACATCTGCACCAACCAGCAGAGAGGGTTATGATGCATATGAACCATTGTAATCCTGAAGCTAAATGAAACATTTTGAATAAAACACAGTTACATCAACGCACTCTTGTCGTACTGACTGCTGGTTAGGAACAGGTAGGGAGACCCAGTGTTTCCCCCCTTCTTTATACAGTTCTTGAAGTCATCTTTTGCCTTGCTCTCTTTGTTTATTAGAGTCCAGTTCATCCTCTTGTTCTCTTTTAGCAAGGGGTGGGCAGCAGCAGTGCAAAGTGAAAGCTAACAGTTCAGTTTTCATTGTTTTTTTTTTGCCTGTGTTCGAATATTCTGCCCCACCCCGCTCTGTTGAATCAGCAACAAGTTTCCACCAGCTCTCCTTTTTGCTCGATGGAAATGCTTTGCCAAAGAGGGAGGGTTTGTTGCCTGGGAAACCTGAGAATACTGTCAAAAGAGGAAAAAACAAACAAACAAAAAAACATCCGAGTCGAATTATCTATTTCCTCACATCACTTGTGCGTTCTCACCCACCTCACCTCACTCACACTTAACTCTTCTCATATACTTACATAATTACCTATTTACATTCTTATTTAAAATATATGCTTATAAATGTGTATATAAATTAAAAGATAATTTCATCTTTTTCCTGTCGCTAAGTGGCATTTGCAAGGAACGGGGTGTGGGGGACTGAGGTTTTTCTTTGCRTTACGAGGGCCTACGAAAAGGCAGCACCGAACACTGTGTACTGACGATGTGTGTGGAACTGTGTGTTTGAGCTATAATGACTGAGTACACGCTGAGTCATGTGTGTGTTTTCTGTTTACGTCAGAGAAAAATCTGACCTGTGATCTTGGTCCCTAAGAGAGGGTCAGTGAAAGGATGGTGTCTGCATGAATTCACGTCATTCTGAGATGCAAGGGAGTAGAGGGACAGTGCCCAACAGCTGTKCCTATTGATCATCTCCATGCTTTGTGTGAAACTCTGTTTTAGAGTGGCAGAGTTGTACATTCACTCTTGTAGTTGGGTTTCTTGCTTGTGCACTGGTGCTAATTGATGAGGTACATTCATAATTAGTTAGGTGATCCACAGTGGATCAGAAAAATGTTAAACATCTTTTAGAGCTTGGAGCTTTGACATGCCATGTAGACTGCTGTGACATTATTACAGTTGTTCTCAATGCTACGATATTCACAGGAACATAGGCATGTGTGGTCTGTAGTGTAAGGTGCGTATGCCTGCTGGGATAGTGGAGGACTACTTTGGGAGACRAAGAATTTAAAGTCCTGGATTGTCTTTTTAAACCGCTGGTTGTTGAGCTTTACACTCTTTATGCTTTGCTGTCTCTCATTTTGATCCTCTACTTCCAAACACACTCTCTCCATCTCTCTTGTTACTCTGTTTGTCTGTCTAGCTGTGAGTGGAGTCCGGCAGAGACATCTCACTGCCAAACACTTCCCGGTACAACGGTGGAAAACTGTAGGCAGTCTCTGGGTGGACCAAACGGAAAAACTCCAGTTTATCAACATGGAGGTTACAGATAGACTTCATTATGGGCAGCTTGGATACCATCTGTAAGGACAGAAAACAAACAAACAAACAAAAAAAATATATATATATATATATAAAATGTAAGTGCACACGTTCAACCTTTTTAAAAAATTGCAACTTATTTTTCCACTTTCCAAAGTAGTTTCAAATAACCAACCAAGTTTCCTCAAATAGAAAAGAGGGTTTGAAAGCAGTTTTCATAGCGTCATCTGACAAATTCTTTTCCCTTGAKAGTTTCTAATGATATTTTCCTCATTGCCAACTCTGGTGTCTCTGCTATCCTTTATATTTTAATCTGGAGCAGATATACTATTTACACTCAAGGCCCTCCTTTAACACGTTTAATTCAGTTGTCTAGTTTCTGCTAGGTTTTATGATCAATATTTGACGTGTGGTGTACCTCATGGGTGTGTACTCAGTCCTCTAATATTTGGACTGTAAATACTCTTTTGCATCAGTATTTTATAAACATAATCCTTCCAATGACGTTATTTTAGACAACACTCATTTGCCTAATGCTGAAACTTGACAATGTTATAAACTTTCTACAAAATATTTAATAATATTTAGACAGCAATTGATGTAAAAAAATAAAACTAATCCAGATGTAATCTGTGTTTGTTATGCTTGTAGATTTCCTTTTTAAAACCTTAAACAACTGAAGTCGTTGGCTGGAACCACAAGGGTGAAAAAAGACTAAAAGGTTGAGTGTACCTTATCAAGTTTCTCCTCACAAGCATCACTGTTCTGTAGACTGTGCTGCAGAGCCAGGTAGACTTTATCTTGGAGTTTCTGAACCTTTTGGCCTTCTGTCAGCCAAGGTCGATCTGTAGGAGCAACAAAATTCCCTCTGTAAAGTTCAGCTTTCATGTAATTTTCTGTTTGTGTTTTTTTTTTATTAAAACCCTCTGAAGGTTTTTAATCAGTTTTTAGATGTACTCCAACAACTGATTAACTTTTAGAGAGGACACAATTCAAGCGAAACAACCTTAGCAAAGAGATGGATGGTTATAACTCTTTTATTTTTAGAGATGCTGAGATAATCTTTGGTGTGGTAGTAGCTAAGAGTCATCCCCAAACAGAACTTTGAGTGCTAGCAGATCCAGAGAGGTCTTTGTTTAAAACTTTAGCAGGTAAGGAATGGTACATTTATTAAATTCATAATCAGCTTGTTTTGTAGTTTTGTCATACATCATTGCAACAGGAATCCTCTAAATGTAACATGATATACCGGTATTTAGAATTTCTGAAACTTTTAAATTAGTACTTTTTACCTTAAGTTCAGTAAAAAACAAAAAAAGCTTACTTCATGGAAYGATTTTTGAGTGGATATTTAAAAATAAAGATTACTTTTTGTAAGTAATAACATCATGTGCTACAATGTTATTGCTTCGTCATTTAAAAAACTAACAATTTCCAAGTGTGAATGAAAAGTTGGCACAAAAGCCTAGTTTAATATTGATGTTTAATTAAATACTGTGTAAAACTAGAGAAAAATCAAATGTGCAGGCTTAGAAAAAATTGTCACAACAACTCTTTTTTTTTTTGTGAAGGCCGACCTTCATTTAAAATGCCATCTCGTCAGAACAGAACCGTTTTACTCTGTATTTGCAGAACAATGGAAACAATGGGAACTTCTTCCTCGACTGTCTGTATGCATTTTTGTGTGGGCTAGAAAGAGAAGAGAAAATATTTACCGGGGGACAGAAGGACAGCAGCGCTGAACAAAGCAATCTCCTCATCAGAGAGCTGCAGATGGCAGAGTGATTTCCCCAACTCGAACACCGCACTCACCAGATCATCGCAGCCTGAACACACAACACAATGTGTTTATTATAAAGSATCAAATTATTCTAATACGTCATCACAATGTATTTATTGAACTAAAATGTAACCGTTTTACTTTTCTGTCCAATCACAAGCCATTAAAAAACACTCAATTTAAAGTTTGCCCACTAGATGGCACTGTAGTACAGATTTTCTGTTCATGCTGCAGAAAAAAGCAACTAATGCAAAATTTGATGGCTGTAAATAGAACTGAARCAACTGTCTTATAGATTAAACTGTGTTGGGAGTCATTACAGCTACACAAATTAAAATAATAGTTTGGTCACTGAATAGGCCTACATGTGGATTATAAAGTTTTCAATAAAGAATGGTACACAAAACAGAGGACTACAATTAATCAGTTTGCAAAAACTATAAAAAAAACTTCCACTTGTTTTGGTGCGTGTCAATCGTTTCAAAGATTACACAACATTCCCAAGTGATCCTCACCTAGGGCTTTAAAGAACGGAGCCGAAGCAAATTTTCCATTGAAGAAAATGGTGCTGTTGTTGCTGTTGAAGGCGCGGCACATTCGAATGAGCAGGACCTCCAGACAACCTAAAAAAAGGTAACCACAAACAGAGGAATAGACATGGAAACATGGAGAACAAAAAAAGAAAAAAGAGAAAGGGAGAACAGAAAAAAATAGCCCAAAGTACTCCATAACACACAAAAACATACAACATATAAATMATTTAGACTCAGATTTGTGCACAGCATATGCAAGAAAATGTTGAACCAGTACATATTTAAAAAGAAAATACAGACAATTTTAAAGTTTTTTTTTGTAGTTCAAATCATTTACAAACGGTAAATGCATTGTAAAATATATGCATTTCATTCACATATAAACACAATTTGATTTGATGAAATTATGCATTTACAATTCAAGATTTGTTTTCAGGATTGTGTCGTTCTCCCCAGAGTTCAGAGCAGGTTTGAAACATTTATAAAATAATAAATGAAGGGGTGAAGGTAGAAGGTTGGAGACAAAAAAAAAAAAAAAAAAAAAAAGAAAAAAACAAGCAGAAAGAAACTCGAGTTAGCAAATGGAAAATTTTCACTTTGGAGGATTCTGTGATTGTGAAACGTGTAACTGGACTTTTCGGAGAGTGCACTGACCTGCTTTCAGCAGAATGATCTGGTCGTTCTGGCACAGGTCCATGAAGCCTGCGATCCGCTTGGCGAACTCCACCACGTACTGGATGGCATTGGTGATGTGGTGCGCACATTGCTGCCACATCCACTCCGCTGACTGTGGGAAGTACCATAAAAAGAGTTTTACAAACAAAACAAAATAAACAAACTACATTTATAAAAAACAATGGATTACTATGATTCCCCATATTACTCTGTTTGACATACTTTATTCTGAAAGACCCGGATTTCCTCAGGTGTGTACTGGGCCCAAGTAAATCTCTTCATGTCTTCAGCGCTGTACTGACACGTTTCCAGGTGAGACTTAAAGATGCTTTTGGTGATGTTCTCTGTAAAGTAAAAACACTCACACTTAGTGTCATTTTAGATGTTTACTGTAGCCCTAGAGCAGGTTTGTCAAAACTTCCATGTCAGCCGTTTAATCGTTAGATTGGTATGTGAATGTGTGTAAATTGGCAGTGAGATTTAGAAAACTGCACAGCTGCCACCTGAAATCTTGCCCAGGGCGCCAAATTGGCTAGGGCCGGCCCTGGTTGGAAGGTCTGCACCGTTCAGATGCTCTGCAGCCCCATTTTCACACTTCATCTTCACGGCTGTTAGATATTTTCCTTCTCTCATTCTTATTTTCCACCAGCCACAGTATTTCTTTATTTCTAAGCCTCCAGAGCCCCAGCAGAAAACAGCTTGTTGTTGCCATCTATTAAAACAGAAACATATTCCTCCCCAGGGTCTCCACAGACACCTCAGTAAAAGGATTTGCCCTCTGACATGTATAAATGCCTCCATTTTTTGTCTGACCCAGTTTGTAGAGAGGTGATTTTTCTCTCCTTTTACATTTCTCATTGCACCTCTTGTTTTGCCAGCTGCATCCTGCCCTTGGCTTAATTAGCTAGTTTGTGAGTCACATTCAGAAAATATGGCCTTGTCCTTGTGTTTCAGCGAATCAGATTTGCTCTCAAAATTAAATTTGCTCTTCTTGCATTTGGTTTTGCTCAGTATTTTTGTTTCTTTCCAACAAATTCTCCAATAATCAGCCACATAAATTTTTTGTAGCAGTTTATTCTGATCCTATTATCGCTGTTGTCACAGTTAATTCTGTCTGTCTGTTAGCATAATATCTCATGACCTGCTCAAATAATTTTAATGAAACTTTCAAGAAGTAATTGCTGAATATACATCTATAAATGATTAATGTTTGGAATTCCTCCAAATAAAAATGGCTGCCACAGCTGATCAATATTAGCTAATACAAAATTGGCTATAATTCAGTCAGGATTGCAGGTATTGAGCTACAGTTTGGTGTAGTAGTAACTTAGTGTCATTTTCCACAAACACTCAGAGGTCTATCTATTGCCCAACATTTTTTGCTGAAAAACCTTGGCATTAACTATGGGAGTAAAAGTTGTTTGTCTGTTAGCAAAATATCTCATAAACCACTGGATGGATTTGAATKAAATCTTCAGTAGATAACCTTTGGTTGYGCAWCTACAACTGATTAACTTTTGGTGAYAACCCAACTCAAGATGCTGCCTTAGCTGATGGAATTTTACCAACACTAAAATGCCTAGATCTCACTAAAAATTATAGGTAATGTGGTAAAGTTTATGTGGTACTAGCTGAGAGTTGTCATCAACACATACTCTATAATAAGATGCTGCYGCGGCGGCCATATTAAATAAAACACTCTCATGAAAGGTGGTGGGTGTTATGCCATTCTTCAAGGATTTTACTCTGCCTTTATTATTGATCATCTGCCAAAAATCCAGTATGTTTTGACTTTGACTACTGGTTTTGAAATTGTCAATAAAATTGTTATTACACCAAGAACTGCTAAGAGCAACTTAATAGGACACATCTGGAAGAAGTATTAACTTTGCATGAAACAGGAAATTAATACGAAACTCTGGAGCCACATGAGAAAATGTCGATCTTGTTAAAACAGGCCTTTCTTTAATATCCTGCCAGTTCTGACCTGCTTTTGACTTATGCACGATCACTGCAAGGAATACATACTGTAGATGCTAACGTGACATTCTCCTTGTTTCAGGAGAAGGTGAGGAATGTTATCTATCAGTTCTAGACTCACCGAGGTCTGTTATTGAGCAGTCATCGGGCAGATGGTCCAGCAGTGAACGCCTGTGTCCCAGCAGCTGATGTGTGTGCAGGAGCTGGCTCCCAACGGTGTCTGCCGAGTCCAGCATGGTCTGCTGCGGGGAGTTCTGATTGGACATGGACGGGGACGAAGACGACGAGGAGTTGGAGGTGTTCCCGGTGCTGGCCCCTCCACCCCCGAGCAGCTCCAGGCTGCAGTATTCACTGGCCTCTTCYGGGGTCAGCGGCAGGTCGAACAGGTCCGGCAGCGCTGCAATGTCATCCAGGTCACTGAGGGTGGAGGTGGAGCCCCCGCTGCTGTAGGACCGGCTCAGGCCCTCCTCACCGTCGTCTGTGCTGCTGCCACACACTCCATCCTCCCGGGGCAAAGACAAGGGCTTGGAGCCAACGGATCCTGCGCACTCCTGGGACTTCTGGTGCTTTTGAACCTCGGCGTAGAGACTGTCCCGCTGCTTCTTTGACATACGACCAAATTTGACAGCTGCAGAAAGAAAACAAACTTCACCACAGGAGACAAGCTGAATATGTACTGTTGTGTGACAGCTTGTCCATTTTAGCTTGACAATGCAAATTTTAGGGATGGGCAACTTAAATGATGGAGGAGGCCAGAATTTTTTGTTGACACTACCAGATGGCTAGTCTGGTAAAAACCAGCCCCTTGTCCTATGCTTTGCTTCATACATAGAAGGGAAACTGGAAYTGAGTGGAACTGCATAGGAAGGAAAAGGCCAGGCTACCAGAATGCCACATAGTGCTGTAATAAAACTGATATTTAAAATAAGGTTTGTGTAAAGGTTTGTTTTGTTTATTAAACCAACATACATTACAGTAACATATTTCATGCTTAAATGCATGTGTAACAGTTGTACTCTTGTTTATAAAACATGAATACAAAATAGCCCAAATATTAGAGGACCAAGTACACACCCATGAGGTACATCATGAGGTACACCACACAAAACTAAATACAGCTTTAGTGAGCTGACTGGCTAATCAGTGTTAATTCTGTTTTGTGTGCACTATCTATAGTTTGTAAAATAACTAGTGTGGGAACCTCTATACAGATGTTGCTGTGACACCTGAATTTCCCCTCGGCGGGACAATAAAGGCTATTTCTATTCTATTCTATTCTATTCTATTCTATTCTATTCTATTCTATTCTATTCTATTCTATTCTATTCTATTCTATTCTATTCTATTCTATTCTATTCTATTCAGACACCTTGATTACAGACTCCTGTGGCTGTTCTGGTAAAAAGTAGCTGTTGTTTATTGCAACTTCAGTAAACTTCTCATATTTAGCTTTGTGCAACGTGTTGTAGTGGTGACTTATATTACAATACTTCATGGAAGACAGCGTCTATAAGTGGACAAAAGAAATGTGTTTTGCCTTAAAATTTTGTGAACAGATAATCTACCTTTCTCAGAAGGAATGTAATTTAAAATAAGATTTATTTAATAAACAAAACACTCAAAATGGCTCTTAGATTCTAAGAGTTGCTTTGAGTGCTTTTTTGAAGCAAAAAACAACAACAATAACAACAATCTAAAAATCTTTTTGTGGGGGTGGAGCCTCACTGGCGGGCCAGACGGAAGTCACCTGTAGGCCAGATGTGGCCCATCCCTGACATGTCTTAATATTTCAAACATGTGTAATTTTACACAAATTCACAGTAATTGAGAGTTCAGTTCAAAATGGCATTTTTATTTTGTGTATGTTTACCATCTCGGCTCATGCCCAAAGCCAGACACTTCTGCAGACGGCAATGCTGGCAGCGGTTCCGGTTAGTACGGTCGATCAGACAGTTCCTTTGGCGGGAACACGAGTACATGGCATTGTTCTGCTGGCTGCGGCGGAAGAAACCCTGGACATGCACACAGAATCATACAGCCCAATGATTTAAATATCCACGACAAAGCTGGGTAAAGTTGGTGTTTGTTGTCCTTTTTTCCCATCCTCTCACCTTGCAGCCTTCGCAGGTGATGACTCCGTAGTGAATTCCTGAGGACTTGTCCCCGCAGATCTTACAGGGGATGACCTCAATCTGAGCTGCAGGACCAAAACAACATTGAACCAACACGTCAGAAGCTTGAATACTGATAAGACTAAATCTATGACTAGACAGACAACTTTTGTTTTTGCAAAAAAAAAAAAAAAAACAGCTGTTACAACTTTGGCTTGTGCTTAAATGGCAAGAAACGAGGGGAAAACCCCTCGCACATACTGAGTACTGAGTGGTAAAATGTGCATATTCAGATGAAACGCTGAGGTTCACAGCAGCCCATATTTGGCAGGGTTTTGCCCCAGAAGGGCAGCTGTCTGAGGCTGCACCTCTCTGAGCTTTCTGTCTCCTGAAAAGATTGGTTTCTCCTCCTTATTTGCCAAGTTGTGCTCAGTTACCTTACTTATCCTTTAAAAACATGTTCCAGTTTGGATGGAGCAAACAGAACTGAAATGCAAATCTACGCATATCACTGTTTTTCACTGCTACAATTTTCTTTACAAGTGTGTTGAAACTCACTCTGTGTATCAAATTTACTCATAAACAGTGAAGTTTCAGATTGCAAACAAAGGTAATTTATCCACTTTTTAGAATAAACCACCCTGCAGTCAGTCTGATCTAAAGTTGGTGTTTGATTTATTCTTCCACTTACTGTGCAAAGCGTATTCACATAGATTTAACAAATGATCAGTTGGTGAATGAGCTATACGTGAAGCACTAAAGAAAGCCATAATGACTAAGACAATAAGTAAAATTTATGTGTTTTTCAGAATCAGAATCAGAATCATAAGCGTTTTATTGTCATTCACACACAACATCAAGAGTGCAGAACGAAATGCAGATTAGAACATCCGTCTGGAGAAACACACACACACACACACACACATGACAAACATGGGGGAACAAATGTCCAGGGTCCTTCGCAACGTAGTGTGCTACCTTTGCAGTTTAGAATACACACACATAGGAAGGATGAGTTTAAAAAAAGAGCTTTGATCCTGTGTTTTATACAGAAAAACACACAAGCATACGCTCAAAAAAACTACTCTGCAAAAGAAAGAGCTTTCATTTGATTTCTACACGAATGATTGGTTGGGAGTAACGGTACCTCAAATTAATCAAGGTTTTCAAAAAATAAAAAAATTAAAAAACATTAGAAAATAGAAAATACTCCTTGCATTTGTTTATGTCTAAGTTTGGTGATCAGACAAAAATCAAAACCCTTGACAAACTGCTGATTTTGACAGCTAATTTGATTATATAGACCAATCATAATGTTGCTTATTTTTCATTATTTAAAAATAAAATTAAAACATAGGAAGTATTTTAGGCCATAGATCATTACACATTGTACTCATTCTTCATCGGTACTTATTGTAATTAAATGTTACCATTGCTTTCTAATTATACTTACTGCTGTTATTGGTTGATATGAATCAGAGAATACAGTCAACAAAAATTATTCTTTTCTAATGATGCAACAAACTAATAATACAAGAACAAAATTCAAATGTATAACTTCTAACAACTAAAAATTAAAAGTTTTGAAATTTTTGACATGAAAGGCCTCAGGGGTCATTTTGACCCAATAACAGCAGGAAAGGCAAATCCTAATAACGATTTTCTTGTTTTGCCTTCTTACAAAATACTTTCACAGATTTTCTCAGCCAAATTAAACCCTTTGTTTCACTTGTCAGCTCAAATCTCACAGATGAGCACCAAACATGTTCACGAGGATGTGGTGACTGTTTTTTCTCATGAACTCCATAGTGAAGCTCTTCAGCTCTCAGAATCTTGAACTTTGTGTTCGAGTTTGTGTGTGTGTGTGTGTGTGTGTGTGTGTGTGTGTGTGTGTGTGTGTGTGTGTGTGCGCGCGCGTGCATGAAGAACTGTGTTTGTAATCTTCTACCCAGGAGGTAGGGCAGGCTATTCAGAAAACTCAATGTTTTCTATACGACACGGCGAGGAAGGTGGAAAATTCTCCTCGATGGAATGTTTTTCTGTTGATATTAAAACCACATGTATCCGTGAAGGTTTCCACAATAATCAGGAAAAAAATCAACAGACTGAACAGGCTGAACTTCTGACTTATTACCAGACAAACAAGGGGAAAATGTCCCCAAGATGTTTCGAGTCACTTCTGTGACTTTACACCACCTCTTGATTTTAGCATATAGTGAGTTTTATTAAAAACTTAGCTTGTAGCTTCAGCTGATATTCAATAATGAGCCATTACATTACTATGGGTAAGATGAGTAGTGCTGCTTTTTTTTTTTTTTCACAGTTCAAAATTCTGTTGGGAAAACCCTTTTCCTCCTCACTGATGTACATGTAGAGAGTAGTGTACAATATCAACCTATCCACTCTTTCAACAGGACAGATTAAAATAACATGACAAAAAAAAAAGAGTCTGAGCCAAACTCTAATTTCCCAAAATGCRATTCCAACAGGGTCTGATAGCATCAGTTTGAACAAAAACTCAATCCAAAAGATCTGTTTGCTAATATTCTGGTTCCAACACACCTTCAATGTTCTCTGTCAAATGTTCCAACTAGTCTGAGTGATGCTTTGTCAAAAGTGTCAAAATCCAAAATTCGTACATCTGATTAATGGAGCAACATTTTTTTTTCTTTTTTTGGGTGGAGTTATGTAACACTTTGCTTGTGCTCTCCAGGAGTCCTGCTGACAGCATTACAGGTTTAGACTTACACTTTATGAGTCTGTGAGGCTGAAACACGACTCATTACCAAAGTTGGGAGCATGTTTGAAACTCCAGTAGGAAAAGTCACACTTAATGGAACATTACCTCATTTTAAAGATCACTGCAGGTTTATTTGTGCCTCTCTTGTACTTTATAACCCCAGGTTTTTGTAAAACAAAGAATTGTTTGTTCTTTTGGGATATTATAAAGACACCACTGACCCCCACTTAAAGAAAAAAGCGGGTAAAGATAACTGATGAATGAACGCGATTATTTTTGCTCAACTGTATGATCATCTGGGCAACATAMCGTAGATGTCTTCTTCCTTTTGGTGACAGAACCAACCCCAGTAGGTCCCTGAACCAGTACAAGYGAAGTTAACTTCTGAGCCGTGTTTGTGTGCACCCTTCATATGGCCTCACCTCCAGCAGACAGAGTGAAAAAATAAATAAGAAAGCACATGACGTTTGCACAGGACGCACAAAGACTCCTGTTTCAGTGTGGTTGGTGTAGCAGCTACAGTTATATGAGGAGACAGCAGTAAGTTTGGTTTTGTTTGATCCTGACAGTGGTGGTGTTGGGGTGGGCGGGTGTATGCCGGATCATTAACTGCTGCTAAAGTTGATTAGTGGAAAAACTGGTGCCTGATGGTGAAAAAGAAAAGTTTCCGACCTAACAGTTCGGTTTAAGGACTACTCTGCTCTGCAAAATGTTGACCAAAATACTCCAACTGATGAGGGCAGCTGCAGGCATGCAGTGGAAAAATATCTCCCTCTCCACCCCGCCCTCCTCTTTTGATTATATAACTCCTGTCTGTGAGCATTCTTTCTCAACGCTCAATGAGCAAAACTCACTCCAGCAGAGCTCACGCCCCGCCCTCCTTCAGACGCTCTCTCCTTCCCCACTGGCTGCGTGGATCTGGCTGCTGCTCGGCATTGGCTGACTCATCCATCACTCTGGCGCTGGAGCCTGTCAGCCTGTGTGGACTGGTCTGTCCCACTGACACACTTTCCCACTGCAGGCGGAGAGGGAGGAGGGGAGGCAGCAGAAACCTGCTCTGTGCACTTTTAAGGTGGAATGGAAGAATACTTGGTGGACTGAAAGATGTGGAATCGTTTATAAAAGCAAGATCAAACAGGACATGAGAATACATGACAGATTTGTAGAGTTGTTCGGTTAAAATTCACTTTGCTGCTTCAGTAACAAGACTGCCCGTGGTATTGGTACACACTGTCCTGTTCACCAAGACCATTCAAGCATTGAACTTGACAGTGATAGTCACCACCCCCACCCCACACACACACCACCCCTGTCTCTTAGTCTTTGACACTGAGCTTCTGCTTCAGTCTATTTTTGTCCCGTGCTGAGAGCCAGGATTACTCAGATGCCCAGCCAGCCACCCCGAGCAGCTACAACTACAAACACGCCACATACTTTCTCATTGTTCATCTCCAGGAACAAGCAGAGAAAGCACACAACATAAAGCCGGACTGGGTCTTTACAGAAGGCCAAACTCGCTCCCAGTGAGGGTGAGGCTTGTATAGATCAAACTAAACCAAAGGCGATGCAAAGAACACCTTTGGTCAACAGCTTTGGTTACAAAGAAACTGATTCAAATAATCATCGTCATGCAACGTAACCAAAAACAAATGGCCACTTACGGCAAACATAACTTCTAAATGTCAACCTAATGATAACAGCAGCCTTAATGACACAGTTGAGCCTTGTTGAATGAGAAAATTAAATTACTTACATCTAATTTATTGAGCTGAGAAACTAAACAGAAAGGCTTTGAAGCTATATACCACAAAAACTGTCCAACTTACCAAGTCTTTCAACCTTATATCCAGCCAAAAAGTATTCTTGATCTTTAGAGACTGATACTTGAGCACATTATTTCACCTAATTTCAGAAGATTCAGACCCAAATTAAGTGAAACAATCTGCCAATGGAATAAGACAACTGCACTTGGTAATATTTCTTGAAATAAGGAACATTTTCAGGATAACAAGTAATCAAACACATTCTGCTCTTGCTTAGTGTATCACTCTCAAAATAAGATTAAAAAAACTTTTTGGCTGGATATAAGATAGAAAGACTTGGTTAGATTAGAAAATTAATTACAATTATATACATAAGTATTATTCAGTGTTTTTTGTTCACCTGATTGATCTATAATGTGCAAAAAGCATTGAAAATTTCTTTTAACCCCATCGACCTGTGTAATGACGCCTTTTGGAGCTTTCTGACCTTTAACTCTTGAGACACAAAACATTCTTGAGAGCTCAATACCTGCTTTGCTAATTGCTAGCATGCTACATAAAGTCAGACACAATTTAGCCATACATTTAGTAAAAAAAAACAACAACAACTCAGCAGACTGCGATAATTGAGAATAAATGACAAAYGTTTTAAGTTTAAGTTGACAGTAACCTCATCGCAAAACCAAAGGAGAAGACGTTGTAACAGCTGAGGCCTCAGAGCGGTTATCAGCTAGCTAAATGTGTAACTGTGTTATCTCTACAAAGAGCTATTCAGCAGAGGGTGGGGTCGACAGAGAGGCAAAAGGAAAATCACTGACTTGTTGCTTCCAGCGGTTCACTTCTCTGTATCTTAACAAGGGACAAACAGGTGACAATTTTCCAACAGGTGCCCCCCTGGCGAGTCGTAGTCAGCATGTGGGGGAAAAAAAGACGAACTTGGACCTGTCACGCACACTAACACAAGTCTGTCAATTCGCAGACACGTTCTGGTGCTACTTCTCAATTTCCTGTATTTCAATACTTTTCTTGCTCTGTGCAACGGCTACACTWTCATGAAAAGCATGCCGAGGAAAGCCAACTCCTAATAAACAACAGGCTGATATAATTTCATRCGGAAGTTTTCCATTTTCGCACCACTTCCTCATGAGAATAGCTGAAAAATATGAAGTGCCTGAGGYTCTTATTTACAAGAAACACTTGTTTTTGCATCCTGCTCTTATGTTTCGGGATTGCAATTTAGCATTTATCGCTCACGAATGTATTTCTTTTTTTATTCTCTGCTAAAAAAAAGGTGGTACCACTAATGGATGTGTTGTGAAGCTTARAGATATGCTAAATGCTCATTCTGTGCACAGTCTGGCCCTTTAGCTGCTGGTGCTTTCAGTGGACTCTATTTTAAAAGATGCAAATACCGCTGGAGGCCGAGCTGAGGCCCATACAGGGGAGGGGAGTAACTGAGTGAACTGGCCTCTTCATGCACAAAGTCAGTCTTATGATCCTTCATTGTGTCTGAGAAAGTCCAACTAGTGCAGCAAACCAGAAAAAAAACTATCAAAACCCCAAACTGTGTCAGTGTGTCAAAACTGACAGAAAGGTGACTCAGCAGTTTGATCAGGWCGATTACAGGATTATGAAAGTAACACGCTGACAAGTGAAAACATAACAGGTTGTGTAAAAAATAAATAAAAATACATTTTTCTGTGCCACAGCCAGCTAAGAATGGATTTGTTTACATTTGGATATCCTGCCAGAGAGGGACCCTCCCTCCATCAGAGGCCCCAAATGTTTCTGTCTGTTTCGTCCTYCTTCCTTCTCCATTTTGAACAAGAAATCCTTCTGTTTCCTTTACTGAGAGAATAAAACTCCMCTTTAGGTAAAATATGGTCCAAATACTGATATTTATCAATATTAGGGGGGAAAAGAAAAGAAAAATGCGTCAAATTGGAACAAGGACGTTTGAAACAGAAAATTGAAACAGCTGCAATAACTTTAGCTTATTTCTCTCCACCCAAAAATGAAAAGCTGAWATTGTTTTAGCCAATGTCTATGCGTGTAAATTTGTTTGCAGTGTTAGCAAAATATCTCATGAAMCACTGGATGAATTTAGATGCTACTTTTAGAAAGAAATCTTTGGGTGTACATCTGCAGCTGTTAAACTTTTGCAAACAACCCACCACGGTCAACTAAACTGGGCTAATAAAAACAGCTACAAACCCAGCAGGTTTACAAATATTCCACCAAAAGTTGGTGTGGGTAGTTGCTGAGCATCATTCCCGACACATACTCGGAGACATGTGCAACACTTTCTGCTCCAAACTCTGACATTACCTGCTGAAGTCAGACCTGTTTGTCTGCTAACTTTTCGGAGTTGCCCACAGCTAATTGGTTTTAGGCAACACAAAACATGAGCAGGCTGGTTTGAAATTTTGAATGCAAAATGCAGACAGAAACAAAAAACAAACAAACCCTAAACTTATTTGTTAATAAGAAAACATCTGCTGACACAAAGTGMTGGAGATCACAGGGGAAATGCAGGGAGAGCCTGATGATGGAGCTAAGATAATGYAAAACTGATAAGAAGATGGAGAGGAACTGAGTGTAAAGAGCAGAGATGAGGTTTGGGAGGCAGCTGATCTGACTGGGAATGACAACAGGTGTGAGTGGCTGACTGACTGGAAAAACACTAAGAGCTAACTAAGGGCATGATGAATGGCACACAAGATCTAAAGATAAATATAAGGCACCAAAAAGAGGAAAGATCAAAACAGAAAGGAGCTCAGATCCTGACAGTAAAACTTTGTCAGTTTGATATATTTGAGGCTAAACTTTGGAGTGGTATAAGTGTGATCCYAAACACTCTTTTCAGCAAAAGATTATGTTGGTTTTATTTGGCATGAAAGGCGGTGGGCGACATCCATTCCTTCAAAGGAATGCCAGGTCTTTAAATTTTTATTYAYACATACAGCAGAAAGAATGAGTGCACGACGCTTCCCACAGTGTTCCCCACTCCCTCCCCTCCACTGTGGATGCTGTATAAATGCTGCGTGACATAACTGGGTCAGTGGAACAGCCGCGCGCTCTCCCCCTCCGTAACTCACGCAGTCGGCCATGCTGGCACGGCCATCCCATCATAACAACCCCCTACAGCCAAACACGCCACGCACTGAGCCGCAGATTATAAACACTTTTGCAAAAAAAAAAAAAACATTTTCAAGCCTTTTATCACAAAGCGTCAGATAAAGCTGTCAAGGTTTCAAYTGAGTTTGTGCGCAAATGTGCGCAATTACGCACAAGTCTTTAGAAAAAACCTCGTGAGAGATCTACACGGTCGACTAACGTTACATGCATTACATAATAGYAGTTTTGGGTAACAACCTCTACTTGCGCCCCTCCCCTCCCCTCATTGCATAACTCTTCCACGGATCTGTTGAAACGTACAGGACTCTCGGGTGAGGTATGGCTCACAAGAATTTGGCACAGCAGGAAAGCACAGCTGCGCRCTTACAGAAACCGCCGCTGCCTGATCCTGAACAGACATTAAAATTAAAAACATGTTTTTAAGCAGTTAAATGCATACATTCTCTTTATGTCTGTTTAAATAAAATGCATGTTTGTCCCCCCGGCTCTGCGTGCAGCCATAATCCAGTCATGAGGGATTAGTGGGGAGGAAAACAGGCGCGCTCCAGTCCCCTTGTGCGCACACATGTGGCTGCTGATCCAAYCCGCACAAACCCGCACGGGGGGAATCAAAGCTCAGACGCACAGATTCCTTTTTATTTTTTAGTATTTTTTTTAACATTTTGACAACAAATCAAGCTTACCTCTCATTTTTATGGTGTTTTCTGTTCTTGGTCTGGACGAGCAATTCTCGGCTACATTGGGGTCAGTGTTAAAGAGATGGGGGGAAAAATAGAAAGAAAAACAATTCTGTAAATGTTAACGGCTTCAACTCCTCTGTCCCTTATCGTTGGATCAAGTTGGAGCAAAATAAAAGAGTGAGGCAAGTCTCTCCGGTTCTCATATCGTCTCCGTCTGCGAGCGCGCCGACAAACAGATATCAGACTCCTCTTCTTTCCCCCCTTCTTCCTGACAGATCAGTCCCACGGTGAAGGAGCGCTGTTAGGACCCCCCCTCCTCCTCCTCTGCGCCTGCTTTCCTCTCAGTCTACCCTGCTAACCTACTTTCTCCAAGCGTGGACTCTCACATGATCTCACTGCCGACAGCTCCTCCCGCGACGCGCGCGTGGCCGAGCACGCGGGGGCGAGTTTTAAGGTGGCTATAGGCAAAGTACTTAATTGCAAGCACGGGCACGTGAAATCAAAACAAAAACAGAAACAAAACAAAAATAGATCAACACAACGAATTAAACGAGTAACTGAAGAAGCAATTAATTCTGCTGTGATGCGTCCCTGTGTGACCTGATGCTGTTTAATTGTTCCGCACCAGGAACTAACTCAAGTCAGAGCCTTTAACAACCTGTCCAACTAGGAAGGTTAAACCAGTGTTTCCCAAAGTTGGGGTCGGGACCCAAAGTGGGGTCCCAAAACATCAAGGTGGGGTCCTGAAAAGATTTTCTGAATTAATTACAGTTTTGCCTTAGTTGTTACAAAGGAGTGAGGTTAGTGTATTTAAAATGGATAAATGTAGTATAAAAATATTGTTACTATGCCCTTGTTTTGTTGACCTGATACAAATGTTTATCATCCAAAAATAGTTGGGGGCACAGGTCTCTGCTACTGACCCCCACAATAATTTGATCCAGTCAAAATAACCCCCCAATAAAATGGCATTGTTTGCTCAAACACAACATAAATTAACTGGTTAAGTAGACAGATGCAACTCTTTTGTTGTCTATGTAACTTTGACCTGATTAAAAAAATTACAATGTCATATATCAACGTTTTAAGCATAATTGCTAAAAATGGCATGCAGGGTTTTAGAGCATAGCCCCCAATGGAAGACCTAAAGTTACACCCTTGGTACTCAGACCAGTAATATTTGGGGTCACAAGTTTAAGCCATGGATATTTTGTGGGTCAGAAGATAAAAAGTTTGGGAACCACTGGGTTAAACAATAGCACCAAAAGTGATCATTCTGGTATTTTGTTTAGCAAATATGACGTTTCATCCAGACAGTAGGCCTACCTCAGGGAACCTCTGCAAAACTGAAACAGCAGAAAATGGGAAAAATAATAATAATTTAGAGCAGAGGGTGTCAAAGTAGTTGGGGGGGGGGGGATTGAACCTTGATCATTATTTACTGAAAAGTAAAGTTATACAACAAACAGTTCTCACAGAAAGACAAATGACCATCTGTCCATCAGTTTTCTTCTGTTTATCCAGGGTCGGGTTGTGGGGCAGTAGCCCGAAGAGACCAGGCTTCCCTCTCCCCAGCCATGGGCCAGCTCCTCTTGGGGAATYCCAAGACATTCCCAGGACAGCTGAGGAACCTCCAGCGTGCCCTGGGTCTTCCACTAGGTGTCCACCCATCCAGAAGGCACCCTAACCAGATGCCGGAGCCACCTCAGCTGGCTCCTATCGCTGTGGAGGAGCAGCGGCTTTACTCCCGGGATGACTGAGCTTCTCAACCTAAAGGGAGAGCCCAGTGGAGGAAACTCATTTCGGCCGCATGTAGGCCTATCCGAGATCTCGTTCTTTCGGTCACTACCCAAAGCTCGTGACCATAGATGAGGGTTGGAACATAGACAGACAAATAAATTGGGAGCTTTGCATTTTGGCTCAGCTCTCGCTTCACCACGRCAGACCGGAACAGCGCCCGCATCACTGCAGACGCAGCACCAATCTGCCTGTCGATCTCTGGCTCCATTCTTCCCTCATTCATGAACAAGATCCCAAAATTCTGAAACCCCTCCACTACAAATGATTTTTTTCCAAATTTTGTATAACTATTAACTTTATCTACGATATCTATTAGATAAAGTAAAATAATTAAATTTAGAGAGCCACATTAATATTAATAACTATACTCTCTATCATCAACTTTTGAATTTATTATTTCTTAGAGATACATTTGATAACAAATTAGTGAAAGGAAAAGAAAAGAAATAACTTCACCACAACTCCAATTTTTTGGCTTTAAAATAGAAGAAAATACCAGAAGAGATAATAATAATCGCTCATCTGTCACTTTCCCCACACTAAAAAAAAGATTACTGAACAATTAAGTTATCCAACTGTMATGAGAAGACCATAAGATTACTATAAGAAGAAACTATAATCTTTAGGGCCAGACAAAATGTTAATGAGGGCCAGACTTGGCCCATAGGCCTTAAGTTTGAGACGTGGTTTAAGGGGTTTGCTTATCATCAAACTTAAGAGCAGTAACAACATTTCAAGCAAAATTTTTATTATATAGTCATTTGAAAAGAAAAAGAAAAAGCTGCAATGTGAGTTAAGAATGCTTTTTATAGATGCTTTTGTTTATGTTTCAGATTATATATTATACTGAAAACACAACAGTCTTCAGTGAATCCAGTTGATCTTAAAATCATAACTGCAACTGAAACAAATTCCTTGTAAAAAAATACCTACTGTATGCCACCATAATATAAAAAAAATCTTGATCAACTAGTTAGAATGTGTTGTGTCACTCTGGGATAACTATCACACCAGATCAATATGTAAATATGAGTTGTGTTTGTTAAAGGTTATGTCTAAAGATTACTTTCTGAAAGTTTCATTAAAGTCCATTCAAACACATTTTTGGTTGGCTGGGCAGGCCCATTAAATGTAGAAGCCTTTCTGATGGTGACTAGCTAGTTTTTATTATTATTATTATTATTATTATTATTATTATTATTATTATTATTATTATTATTATTATTATTATAGATTTTTTAACTGTCAAAAACAATCCGGTCTGTTGTTCCAAAATAACCCTTTAGTGTTGTCATTAACTTGTCAATTTGGTTAGAATTAAACTTGTTCAAGAATAGAATAGAATAGAATAGAATAGAATTACTGTCTGTTCCAGATAGTGACAGATTTTTTTGACAAAACAATAAATACTCAAGATACACATAAAAGCCACATTTAAAACACATAAAAAGGGACTGCTAAAAACAACTGTTAAAACGATGCAAAAGTAAAGTTCTTATGTTAAAGTGTTAAATGTGRATATCGCAAATGGAATAAATGACTTTTTTATATAGCTTTCTGGGCCAGATACAAAAAGTTATCTACAGCAAGTAAGATATTCATTGTTCATAAATGCTTTCCACTAACCCTACAATTCTGGGGCAAAATACAAACCTGATTCAGTTTTATGAGCCCAGACTAGAGTCGAGTGCCATGTGTGATGGCTATATTATTTGTCTACCCAAATAAGTGACTGTAGACTTTAAAGAAAGATCAACAAATTTTTATGGTACTGTGATTTATTCCATCTGTGTCAAGCAGAGTCAAACTGAATTAGAAAGGGTTTGGGTCCAAAAAAATGTTTCTGGCCGTTTTCCCAATGATGGCTCACCTGCTTCAGTTCCTTGAGGGGAATCTGTTGAGTTTATACCCAGTGACCTCGTTAATTTGGATTCGTAGAAGTCTGATTCGGGTTTTTCTTGCTGTAACGAACGTGTAGAAACCCATCGCTGCAGTTCCATGTTAGACTTTAGTCGCGTCTCGCTCTGGTTTTGTTGTTGTTTTAAACCTGGGCTGCAAAAATGATGATAATTTTGTGCTATTTTGGTGGATGATTTACCACTCATCAGCCAGAACAAATAAAAAGCAATCCAAGCTGCTGTGCGCTCGGCTATTATAGATGGTTGTGTGTTCTGGGAACAAGATGGATGATGGTGGAGGGAGGGAGGAGGTGTGTGGAGGGAGGGAGGGGGGTTGTTGCACTAGCAGGAGGCCCTTATGATGCAATGATCTGGCAGCACTGTTACGAAACAGTATGAAGGCAGAGATTACTCAAACTGGGTTAGTGGAGCAGCAGCAAGCGGAGCACCTACCATCACAGAAGCACACACCCTCAAACACACACATAATTAAATGCATACGTGCACATTCTTTTGTTTTTTYCCCCGCATCTGTGCCACTTCCTCGTTTTTTTGGGGTTTTTTTTAGAGCGAAACATTTCCCTGTATCATGCAGGCCTCATTTGACTATATTCAAATAGCTTGATAATTAGGCTGCATGTAGGCAGGTGAAACATCTCAATCTACTTTCCTGCTCTTTCGTCTGTGAACCCCACC